TTAATCTCGGTGCTCAAAACAATGTATTAAATAAATACATTCTTTTTTACATTTCTTTAATATTCTGTTCTATTCAGCTACAGAAGCATCCTCTATAAACTACGAAGAATTGTAGTAAAAATGTAACTTTAACCGATTCTTATGTACACTTTAGTAATTTATTGATATGCCGCACAATGTCCTCCTTTTTGGTGCTATAGAAATGGCCACCCTAGTTCTAGCGTTGCTTTTTTAAGAACCTTTCAACATTAGCGGCCCCTTTATCTGCTTTGACCAGTCATTCTACCCCTATAGTTTGTAAGCTAGCAGGTACATTAATTCAATTTCAATTCAGTTTCACAACACATGTCATCTCAAGGCACTTTACAGTTCAACCAGATCCTACAGTCAAATCGATACAAAGTTTTCTATCTAAGGAAAACTGTAAAGGGAAGCTGTCCTACAAGACGAGAACGTTTTGCAATACAGCTTTGTTATAACTGCCTATATAAATATAAACATTTCTAGACAATATTAGATTAGATTGCAGATTCTCCACTCATTTTTTATTACATTTCTGTAGTAAATATCTTGCTGTATTTTTGCATGGTCCCCTGACTGCATGACCTCTTTAGACATTCAATGGAGTAAAGTCCTGATGGGTAGAAGTGATTTTACTGCGTGCGGTTGCACACCAACCCACTCTCAGCACTCACTCAGGGTATTCGAGATAGAAACAAAACATGAAGAATATTGTGCCAACCTTGGTATTATTAATCCCATCTTTTTCCTTTTATCCCTTTTTGCTTTTTTGTGTAATGCTGTTTGTTAGCTCTTACAATTTAGAAAAAAACGAGAGGTGATGAAATAACTGAAGCCTTTCTTTTCAAGAGAGAAAATCTAAAACCCAAACTAAGTGGGGAGGCAATACGACTTGATTCTTTAAATCAATGCTGCCCTACTACAGTAAATTGTCTCATTTGCTGTAATTACAGAGGAAATCTGAGGCAGTCTTAGCAAATCAAACAGTAATCAACTTGTAGAGACAAGTGATGCATTTAATTAATCTAGAGAACATTGTATGAAGTGTACTTCATGCCTTAGATATGATTTTATTAATACCCACATTTTTATTAAACCCTGTTTCATGATTTCTGGATGTCAGATTTAATCATATCAGAATTCCAGCAGTTACTCTTTTAGATAAAGGGCAACAGTGGAGTAGGCTGGGGGATTTTGCCCTGCAACCAGAGGGTTGTCTGTTCAAGCCCCAGCTCTGGCTTTCAGTTTCTATATGTCCTTGGGCAAGACACTTCCTTAGCATTAGCTACTGATAGTGATCATGTAAAATTCTGTTTACATCACAGCATGTGAATTGAGCGGAGTGCCGCACAATTCCTGCTCCCCGCTCTGGAGGATGTTTGCTCTGCCACTCAAAGTTGATCCAGGACGCTTCGCACTCACCTTAATTTTACTGCCGCTGGTGCAAAATTGTTCCAGGCTTGCTAAAATTTTCAGGAGGAGGCATTTTCTGACATTTTTCTTTCATGTAATTATGCCTGGGACACCCAGCGTCTGATTCAATGATGTGACCTATACATGTGTACATCTTATTTAACTGGCTGTTAAATTATCGTTTCCAGCTGTGAACGTAACGCCTTGCTCCATTCATGTTGCGCCGCCTTTAATATTTAATTATTCATTCATTTTACTAGACTACATAAAAAAAGGTCACTTCGCATCCCTTTGCAAATGAGATAATAGCCTATAATG